CGGTACAGCCGTGCTGTCGTTGACACCGTGAGAACTGATCGACTTGGTCACGAGCAGCAGTGGCTGCAGAGTGTGGGATGAGCAGAAACAATGGTCGCCAAACAACCCTAAACCCTAAACCCTAAACTCTAAACTCTAAACCGTATTTGCCACCAAGCGCATGCGAATGGGAGGTAGACTCACGAGGCGAGCGGGCCGGGGGGCGGGGGTTTGTTCCCCTTCGCCAGGTACCACTGCCTCGGGATGCTGCTGTTAACCCTGTCTGCATGCGCCGTGGACCTGCTGCCTCCTTAGATCTAACGAGCCATTTCAGGCGTTTCTGAAACCTTCCAGGATCAATTTCAGCGATCTTCCCAGGTGCAGTGAGAGCCGCTTGCCCTGGGCTGGCTCCTTGCTGCCGGACCGGGGAAGTGCTGAGCTTTTTCGCATCTTCGGCCTAGGACCTAGAGACCTAGTCAGTCCTAGGTCCTATATATGTTTGCTCTCTTCTCCAGGAGGCGTGCATCGAGGACGAAAATCTCCGGCTGAGGGTCCTAAGCCAGGGCCCGAGGCTTCGACTTCTGCGTGGGTGTGGCGAGGCGTGCCGAATCGGCTTCGTTCGGTTTCCAGTTTCCAGTGCCAGCTAGAGCCCCCTGGCCGCCTCCGATCCTTTCTCCTGCGCAGCGAATGCCGGAGTACGAGCTCCTGTATTGGCCCGTGACTTGTCTGCTCGAGCAGTGCTTAGGAGTCTTGGTATGTCTTGGTGAGGGTCTGTTTGGGAGGTCTCGAGCAACATCTTCACCCCGTGTCAGGTAAGCGGTCTCGCCGAGCCGATCAGGCTAACCTTCGTGGTGGCGGGCATCCCGTTCAAGGATACGACTCCCCTCACGGACCCACAGTTCAACGACCGGAAGTTGGCACTGCACCCTTATGCGCCGGATGCTGCGGGGCTTCCCATTCTTGTCTTTGACGGCAAGGCAGACACAGTACGAGCACGGACTCTCTTAACACTTCTTATCTTCGCATATCGGAGAGATCCGAAAGAGACGCCGAAAAGCCGCACCCACACCATAAACGCTGCACGCCCCAACCCTAAACGCCAGAAAGCCAACCCACTTGGAGGTGTGCTGCCAAAGCCGAGCCATCCTCCGCTACATCGGGCGCCTTGCACAGCACGAGGGGGCCTTCCTCTACCCCACGGAGGCGGTACGCTTAGATAGGTGTCCTTTCTTATATAGAGAAGCTTATTTAGGAATCCTTTTAAAGTGGGGGGGGTTTCTGAGGGTTTCTAGGAGTAGGAGGAAAGCTGCGTAAGACACGGAAGGATCCCTTGGAGCAGCTTCTCTGTGATGAGCTCATCGACCTGAGCGAAGATTTGCGGAGGCCCATGAGTGCCACCGTCACCACCCAGTACAAGGACGCACGGGCCCAGAGTACAGTAGGAACTTCAAGCTACCAGAAGTAGCGAAGTGCCGTTCTGGGAGGGCGCATCTATCAAGTTCCCTGGCAAGAACCCAGGATGCAGCAGAGAAGGAGGCAGCTCGCCGTGCTCTTCTGTCCGCGGATGGAGAGTGCACAAAGTTCTTGAAGGTGCTGGACAAGAAGTTTGGGGAGAGCTTTCCCACCAAGCTAACGATTGGCAACATCTACGCCTGGTCTATCGTCACTATGTTCCGCCAGCCAACCTTCATTCCAGAAATTCCAGCAGATGCGTTGTCCCCCTACGAGAATCTGACCAAGCTTCATCAATGGATGTCCAGCCTTCCCGTCATCAAGGCCTATTACGAGTCTTCGCAGGGCCGCGACAACTACAAGCCCCTTTGACTGCGTGTGTTTTCCCTGCAATGCAGACCCTGCACTGACGTTGCTCCTCTGTGTTCCTAGATCGATTTCACATGGAACGGCCCAAAGCTGGGGGGAGAGAAAGAGAAAACCATGCTCTGAGCTCTGTCCTTTCGCTTTGTCGCTTTTCCTTTCGCTTTGTCGCTTTTTTTAAGCGGCGTGGTTGCAACGCTGCATCTTCCTTTTTTCTTTCTGAGGCCAGGGCTTTGCCTTGGTTGGGCGCTTTCTTTCGGAGCAGCATCCTCGGAGGGTCCTGTCCTCTGAGGCTACGGGGTCGGCCGGTTTTGAGTGCCTTGAGGTACGGGCTCCCAGCCGATCTCGATCGCGAGGAGGCCGCACTCAGAGTGCCTCACTCTGAGTGTTCGCGTCCGATTTGCTGGCAGGTGGAGACCTCCAGCTTGCCGGACTTCACCGCTGAGGCTGGCGAGGAGGAGGCGCTCAGCGGCTGCAGCCTCTCAGAGGGATGCCCCCACGGAAGATGCCCCTCTCCCCTCTCAGGTGCTGGGGGCCCTTGCTGGCTTCTCCCTCTGTCACGGAGCTCGCGCTCTTTGCATCGCGGAGGCCGCTTCAGGAAGAAAAAACGACCCAGAACAGAACAGTCCAGCTGCCGAATTCGGCAGCTGCCCCCAGTAGCAGCTTCTTGGGCGTTGTGGCGAGGCGGCTCTGCAGGGCCTCGAGGAATCGAAGGAGCAGGCCGAAAACACAGCAGAGCAGCTCTGGCACTGCAGAGTGCTTCCCTAGTCCCCCTTTTCTCCCGTGGCCTCTTTAGGGGGTCCCAGAAGTCTGAAAGCAGTGAATAGCCGCAAGGAGCCTCATGAGTTCTCGACTCGACGGCTGAGGTCCTCTGCCTGCAGCGTGCCGCAGACCTCCGGGGCCTCCTCCTAAGGTCGAGCCAGGGCTTCGGGTTCGGGCGCCCTGTTTTGTCGGAAGATTTCAGGGTCTCAAAAAGAGCTTACCAGCTTTAACAGTGCGGCGATAGCATTTAGTTTGCGAGGGCTCGGATTGAGGGTTGGGGCCGAGAACGGTCCTCCCAAAATTTGCGCGCTTGTGCTTCGCGCTTTCTGTGTACACTTATGCTCGGACGGTTCGACAGTCTTCTCAGTGCGCTCCGCCTGGACGGCTCGTGTCTAGTTGCTGACAAGTGCCGCGCACTGCAAGTGCGGCAAAGCCGTGACATGTACTGTAGCCTTTTGGGCGTGAATTTGCCCGGCCTGCGCCAAATACGTCATGCGTGTCTGGAAATGACGTTCGATCTCGAAGTGGGGCATTAGGACCGAGGCTTTGTCAACCCGACCTTGCTTGCTTTCTCTCGGTAGTTTTCAGCTTGGGGCAGTTCCATCAGGGGAAGGAGTGCGTCGGACTGTTGGCAGGTCTCTGGCCGTAAACCATCCCGTCACCTTCTTCCGGAGCTTGGCATTGACTTTGGGCCCAGCGCCTGGAGTTCATGTTCGCAGATGCTCACATGTCAAGCTTTTGCATGTTGACGACCGTGTGCTTGCCAGAGGTGTCAAAGGCATGGCACCCAAAGCTCAATCACTTATGCAAAGCAAGGCACGCGCCGGCGTGCCCTGCTCCTGCCCATTGGGCCCATGGATGTCTTTCCCCTTCCACCCCTCCGCCCCGGCGGGAGGAGTTGATGGCCAATCTGGTTTCCACCGTGCTCAGTGGAAGCTCGGATGCCACACAGCCGCACTGAGCCACACCGAATGAGCATTGGTGCCTCTCAGCATAAGCTGCCCAAGAATCAGCCAAAGAAGAGTGACAAAGTCTCTGAACTGAATTTCAATCCTTTGACTCGCCTCCGATCAGGCCTTGAAAGTTCGCCGTGGTTTGCGCAGCGATGAAGCCGACGCAGAGGCGAAGACCACGTTGTGCTTGCGATCTGTGCCCCAACGGAAGAGAACCCTCCTGTCTGGCAAGGGGCCAGGGGAAGCTTGCGCGGCCCTTTGCGAATCGCTGGTGCAGCACATCAGCAAAAAGATCCTGGAAAAAGGCCTGGCCGCATGGCCCCTGCATCCTTCTGCCTTGGGCACGGATTTCAGGTGGCGAAGATGATGTGGTCACGAAAGCCTGGGCACTTCTGGACGCTAGCAGATAGCGTGAAGGGATCCGGTGCCTTCTGCACCTCGCTTGGCTTGTTTCAATCTCCCGGCGAGGACGACATCTGCCATTTCGCCAAGAGCGATGTGCCTCGCACCCGGCGCATCCCGTCACTCCGAAGGCTCCGACTCGGTGCTCCACTTCTGAGGTCGACGCCTTTGGTTCAGATGGTCCTACCGCAAGCCGGTGCTCGGCTGACTGCTGCTTGTGGAAGGCGAGGTGTGGGCAAGGAAAGAAACCGTTGCCATGGTTATGGGGAGCGGTCGCAGGTTGCAGGCTTCCGGAATCGAGGCGGCCGTGGCATGTTGCCAGTGTGTCCAAGCCTCAGCTCAATCCAAACAAGCTGGGGGAGAGAGCCGCGAGTCCCGAGGTCGAGACCTTGGTGACCTGCTTGGGCCGCAATGTCCTCGAGAAGTTGAGGGACCTGGTGCCCCCACTCCTGGACTTGGCCTTGACACGGCGGCAAGAGGCACCTTCCATCACCTTCCGACCTTCCCCCCCCGGCTCAGCGCCGAGCGAAGCCCCTCGCAGAGGCCAAGCAAGACGCCGCGTGCGCGGCCCTGGACCTGGCCTCAGTCCGCCTCCCCAGCGCCGGCATCTTAAAAGAGATCAGCAGTTCGCGAGGAAAGGTTGGTGCTGAGAGCTTTGGGCGCCCTGTGTCGCTCCCTTGGCCCCTTCCTGTCGCCCTTCCTGGACCGCTTCCTGGAGGCAAAGCCTCTGAAACATCGCCGCGAAGCTCGCGCTTCTTCTTTCTCTTCTGAGCCTTTCGCAGGTCAGCTGCCGTGGCCCCAAAGCAGGTGGTCCAGCAGTGCTGCAGGACGTTCTGTGACCTTTGACATGATCCTTTTCAGCTTGGGATCGGCGCCAGAGCGTTAAACCCTAAACCCTAGGCCCTAAACCCTAGGCCCTAAACCCTAAACCCTAAACCCTAAACCCTGATGTCAGGAGCTTGCAGGCGAGCTGGTGAAGGGGGTGCCCCACAGGCTCCTCTTGGCGTCCGTGCGGACCTTAACTGAGAGAAGCGGGGCTTCGTCTCTCTCTCTCTCTCTCTCTCTCTCTATCTCTCTCTCAGATACATACTAGTACATATGTAGATACACTTACACAGATACATACATACATAGAGATAATACATAGAGACATAGATGCATACATGCATACATGCATGCATACATACATGCACATCTACATCTACTTCCACATCTACATCTACATCTACATACACATCTACATCTACATTTAAATTTACATCTACCTGTACAATACATGTACAAGTATACAGTACATATGTGTATATATATATATATAGACAGATAGATAGATCCATCAGGTTTGCGAGCGTGTCTGGAACTTGCAGGTGCAAGCAGCCACGGTGGACCCCTTCGACTCTGCAGATTCTGTGCCGCTGGACGAGAAACTCCTCCACATGCAGAGGTCGATCCCGTGGGCCTCATGCAGGGGAACGGCGGTTGGCGAGGGCTGGAAAGCTGTGGGGCTAGTACAGAACTAGGAGTGTGCCGGGCCTGCCGTGTCGATGTGCACTGCTGCCATGATCGTCTTCGGTCTGTAGAACTGAGGAAGTGAGGAGAACTGCAGCCTTGGCTTCAGGCTTTATGCTGCTCTGTGCGTGTCTCTGGCGCAGGCTCGCCAGTTTCCACATCTGGATCCTTTCCAAGGCAGGGTGCGCGAAGTTCGGGTTGTGGCTGCTCAACAGTTCTTCGGAGAGGCGTCGCCGGAGTTTGTGGCCGGCATCAGCGACGCCATCATGGCGTCCCTTCTCCGGTGCCACTCGAGAGCTAGGAGCCTTTAAGGCAAGTTTCGACGGGTGGGACCCTTTGAAGGCTCCTGGCGGTCTCCAGCGGCGCCATCGCTGCTTTCCTCCAAGCGGGGACCGAAGCCGCAGTGCTCGCTGCCAGGCGCGCAGAGAAGCGGCCCCTCGTCCGCCCCGTAATTTACCTCTCAAGAGCTCCCGGGGGCCGCAGGGTCTCGCGCCAGCCTTCTTGCCCAGCGGTGGAGGCGGAGGCCGTGGGCTGCTGCAAAGAGTGTTGTTGTATGGTCCGTCGGTGCCGCCAGGAGCTGAGTTGGGAGCAGTTCGGCAGCCAGCCCTCCATCTGGCAGCTGCACCAACTGGCGCGCGTCCCCAGTTGGATTCACTCCCGGACTCCCGGAGTCGCCTTCTTCGGAGACGGGTGTTCGATGAAAGACTACGATGTTTGCCTGCTGGTGACGTCTGCATCTGGATCTGTTGGGCTTAGGAATCGTGCTGCTCGGCGCTGTTGCAATGGAGCGTTTGCTGCTGCTGGTGCTTTCGATGATGATGGCGACGGTATTGGCGACGCCGATGGCGGTGGTAATGGCGATGGTGGCAGTGACGGTGGTGGTAGAAATGACGGTGGTGGTGTGGCCGAAGGTGATGGGCTCGGCAGGTCGCGATTGTTGCCAAAAGAGAAGCTACCATGACTATGACGAGAAAGAGGATGGTGACCAGGGATGAGGCTCACGGTTTATGATTTGAGTGTCGACGTCTGAGTTCAGCATAGTACTAGTAGGTAAAGTCCTGATTCAAACGGTTGTCGCTTCCGTGACTTCCGTGTGGTCTGGGCGAGCCCCGCTCTGAGCAGTCTTTTGGTTCCTCTGCATTGCTGGAATTTCCACCCAGGCGGCGGCCGCCTTCGCGCACTTCGTCCTGCGGCTGGAGCTGGAGGCGAAGACGTAATGAGCAACATCGCGACTCTGCCATATTCTGCCACAGGAGATGAAGAAGCACTTTGTCAAGGCACACTGTCGCATTGCTAGGATCCCTTGTCCTGTGGTCTCGGTTTTTGAAGGTACTGGAATGGGCGCGGGACAAGCAGCCGAAGCTGCTTGATCAGCAGAGGCTCTGCAGCCCGCTGCTTCACGTCCTGTTCCTCAAACTCTTTGTGTCTCCACAGGCTTAGAAAAGCGAAAGACTTCGAGGGCATCGATCCAGCATCTGATGCCATAGCAGCTTGTCGCGTGATGGCAGGGGGCCAAGAGTCTTTGGGAGTCAGGAGCAACCTGTTGTTGGACGGGCGCAAGGCCGTCACTGCCACCATGAGCTGCGTCGCAGACGCGGCCCCCGGAACAGCAGAAGAGCTGCTGCCACTGGGGACGAAGGAGCCTGATGTGCCTGATCATGCTTGCTAAGTCCATAAGTGTGAGAAGAGGAAGAAGACTGTACTGTACTGTAGAGCAAGGGGCTCTGCAGTCTGGACTAGACTAGAGAGGACTTGTCGACAGCGTTGGTCGCCTGCCGCCGCTTCGCGCAGCTCGGCTTCTCAAAGCTACAACGAGCCCTCGCCCGCCTTGCCTGGACCTCTCAGGCTTCAGACTGGGCAGAAGGCGCGTCGATCCTTGCAGGTCTGTGTCTGTGAGCTGCAAGCAGTGGGCAGAAGGCGCGGAAGCGTCGGAAGACTGGCGAGAAGGCGGCTACCGCGTCCAAGGAGGCCAGTCTGTCCTGACCCTGCTCTGCTGCCTCCGCCTCACTCCTTTCCTTCAGGTGCTGCAGGAGCACACGTGGTGGTGGCACGACGCGGCTCCGCCGCGCTTTCAATGCAAGCATGGCCGGACTACATGTAGGATTTGGAGCGTGTCAGGTAGCTTGCTCCTGCTTGGACCTCCTGTCCACCGCATGCAAACCCTCCGATGACGCAGGTCACCGTCATTGCAACTGCATCCTTCCAGACTCCAGCCACACCAAGACCGCCTGAGGTTCCGAAGCAAAGCCCTTCGCCGACGCTGCCGAGGCGTCGACCAAGACTCTCAAGCCGTGCTACCTCCGTCTGCCTGGCCCAGGAGCTGCGTGATCCGGTGGCCAACCTCCTGGACATCTTCGAATTTCTTGCGCAGGCCATCGGATTCTGTGAGTCCCTCTATCAGTTCCGAAGATATTCGGAGCAAGATGTTGAAACTCCTGCATGTGCCATCGGCGGGGACAGGACTCCAGCGCGACGACCTCGCTGCGGAGTGCCCAGAGCCTACAGGGCGTTTGGGGTGAGGTCTGCCCAAAATCGAAGCCTCAAACATTCAGGATTCACCTATGATTATGAACCCTAAAACACTTAAACATCTTAAACCCTAAAAGCCCTAAACCCTATATAAATGTATAGTAAACCAGGTGACCCATAAAAAGGAGGCCCTGAGCTCCTGGGGCCCTGAGAGTCTAAACCCTAAACCCTA